TTCTGGGTAAAATCAGGAACTCGCCACACACACGCGCACGCACACACACACACACACACACACACACACACACACACACACACACACACACACACACACACACACACACACACACACACACACACACACACACACACACACACACACACACACACACACACACACACACACACACACACACACACACACACACACACACACACGTTATCCCAAGCAGTGTGAGGCTTTGGATTGGGTGAGGCGTTGTGTGGTGTAAGCCATTGTTGTTTTGGTTTGGGGGAGATTGGGACTCTTGGGGGGAGCCAGCGACTTTCCGAAAGCCGTTGTCGTTTTGGGGGCAAGTTGGTGGTTTTGCCTCTTGCCCCTCACAAAAGACTCAGCTGGGGCACTTTAAAAGGAGCCTGAAAAGGGGAATGCTGCCCTGAGAATACTGGAATCCCCCGCGGGTAACTTCTCTCCTGGGGGATTGGCTGGATGGAGCTCTTCACCCAGATCGCCAGATCCGCCACGGAGTCCAACTCGTAGACCTCCTCCGCGTCCTCACAAGCCAAGGTTTCGGATGGTTGGTCTGAGTTAGCACTCCCTTTCGTTCAGAAAGTCGTTTCGAGGGAACCGTATTTGAGGGAACCCTGAGTCGGTGTCTTGGGGCCGCTGGTCCTTACAAGTCAAAGGCAGGCGAAGTGAATTACAGTAGTTCCCTTGAAGGCAACCCGTTGCAGACATGGAAAATCAATGCCACTGCTGCAAAATTGGAGGCAACTCCCAGGTCCAAGCGTTCTTTGTCCCTTCAAAGCTCCCTTGGTCGCACAGAAAGTGGCACCATCCGGTTTCCCACAAGGGCCAGGCCCGTTTTGGCGCTGTGGACATGCGCCGGCCGCCTTTTTTTGCCGGGGGTTGGGACCGGGCTTGAGTGCGGTGCCTGTACAATCGCCTCATGCGCAATTTATCCTTGCCAGGAGGACATATGCGGCTCTTGGCTTCCACATGTCCTTCCAGAGGAAAATCCCGTGGGCAGCGAGTCCCACGTGGTCGGCAACTTTGGCCGGGAGCGAGGAAGGCTCGCAGGTTCAAAGCGACCCGCATCGGCTCTAAATGAGACACACCCGATTCGCTTTCCTGCTGCGTTCCTATTAGGCTGCAGTTGAATTGCTTGCGACTTTCGCCTTATTCCGCCTTATTGCTCTTTCAGAAGTGCATTTGACACCCGAAGTTGCGGTGAGCCCGTGTCAAAGGAAACACCTCGACCCAGTTGCGGCTTTCAGTGAGCCCAAGCGGTTGATTCGTGAACCATTCGCCTTCTCCTTCCCTATGCAGGTCATCAAAATTTGATCTAGCAATGAGCCTTGGTTGTTCATGCAGGTTCCTGAAAGGTAGCTATGATGAGGAACATGATTCTGCTGGTGACGCGCTTTGCTGAAAGATTGCGAGATTGGCTGGCTTATGCAGCGGCTTGTCAGCCTTGCTGGTTTCGGCATGTTCATTCTGACGGCCAAACAAACTGGTAGGTTTGTCGAGGCTTCCCAGCCTGCCTGTTCTATCGGCACAAAGATCGCAACACGTCCTCCATCACTTGCAAGCGCCCCCAGTTGCCCACAAGTTGACCAGCTGACACATGGCAACTCCTACAGCAGAAAGTTGACGGCTGCAAATTCGGTGCTGGAGGACATGTCACGCCGTCAGCCCACCAGTTTTTGTGGCATTGCAGGACCCTACTGGGTCCTTCGGAGTGGAAATCCGGGAGGCAAATGCGTCCAGTTTCCAAGCGGCTCCATAGTGGGCGACGCCTGTTCAAAGGGTCCAAAAGTACTAGTCAAAAACATCTACTCGTCAACTCCTTTTGGCTGCACGTTTGAAAGGGGACAGAAGTCGGCTCTTTAGTGATAAGCAGAGGCTGGCTAAAACAAGCAACGGTCCGAAAACAGTCAGTTCTGTTTCAATATCTTCTGAAACCCCATCCTTCCAGGAGGAAAAAACCGTTTCACGTCTTTGCACTTTCCAGGCTTACAAACATGGCCAAACGACCTTCTTGCTCGGGGTTGAGCTGGTCATGGACCCCTTTTCTAGATTCCTAAGGGAACCATGATGGCCCACAATGGCACACGGACGCCGAACAGGGCATCCGCGTGTTTACCGGAAGCTCAGGTACAGCGCCAGCACCAGCACCGCCCGTGCCACCTGCACCCGCGGGGTTCCCACGAAGCAGAACTGCAGTGGCCTCAGGACACCACAAAGTGGCGGCAAAGTGGGCGGAAAACCCAAGAATGGGCCAAACGAGTTGCTCCATTGTTGAGAAAAGCATCCCCCGAAATCACTATCAACAAAAGACGCGCCCCTGAGGTGGGCAAGCCCAAGGATGGGCCTGTAGGTGCCAGCTTCAAGGGTCCAGGAACATTCACTGTTGCTTTCGATTGATTCAAGACATGCACATGTGCCCAAAACCGGCCCAGAGACACGGGCAAGGCTGGTGCGGACAACCCGGGGCCATACAACAAGCCTTTGGGACGCCAAACCTTCCATGACAACCAAGCGCAGGAACAACAGGGTTGAGTAACAGGCAGCTGGAATGGGGCTGACTCAGGGACACCCCATCACCGAAATGCGAAATGCAGGCGAGGAAAAGAGCACCCACGACACGAATCGAAAGGGAGACTCGGCGCTAGGGACCTGAATAAAACGATGCTCAAGCATCTCGGGAACATGGTTACAATTCACGAACCGGAAATCGAATTTCTGCAATAAGGGACCTTGAGCTCGTTTGCTTTACCCGCACGTGCTCTCGCTAGAAACACGTCCGTCCGTCAGATTCGCAAAGCATGTGAGATGAGCACAAGGCACAGTCCCCAACACCCAAAGATTTCACATGTCTGCTTTCTCGGTATGTCAAAGCAAGTCAGAGCCCTGCCTGAATACAACCATACAGCCATTTGGAGGCCTCCCTTGTGACCCAATCACAAACAATGGACGTTGCAGCGAGGTCCTCAAATTGGCGCGGAAATGATCCTGGGCGGCTCATGGTGAAATTCATTGAGACTCTCTCCTGGGCTAAGCCAAGCCTGATCTGCAAAAGAAAAACTTCGCCAACACAAAAACCGCGCAAACAATCAGCAGAGCGGAAGCACAAACCCTTCGGTTGGGGTCTCATAGCTTCACCAACCCCAAAAGGCCGACCTTGGAAGGTTTCCTTTGGGAGGGGCCGACCTTTGCCTTATCAAAAAAGATTCCCTTTTCGGGCTTCGATGACGCTTGGAAGGGCGCGCTCCATATAAGTTTCTCTCACACAGAAACCCCATTTTAGAGCCGGACCCCTTTCGGTGTCCCTCTCAAACCCCCCCCCCGAACAAAAAAACGAAGAAGCTTCGTCGAATCCACATGGATCCCAAAGCTGGGGGGTGAGTCCGCCTGCATCGTCCAGCCGGGGTTCCCGGCAGCGGCTTGGCGCCCGCCAGGCGCAGGGAGCTTCGCGCCAGGCCCGGCGCGCCTGGCGAGCGGGTTAGTAAAAAGCCTGGGGCCTGGGGGTGTACCAGGCATGTCTTGCTTCTCAAATGAGGGAGGGGATGAGCCCAGCTGAGCCAAACCTCGCTTTCTTTTTGGACACCGCCAGGGTCTGTCCGAAAACCCTTGGCGGGGTCCTACTGAGACCAGCAAGTTAACTCCCAGCAGATTGACCTTTGGAACCCAAAAAATTCTCAGTTGTATGTAGAGGAATCTCGTCCTGCACAACGGTACTCCGGGGCAAACGCACGGAAGGAAGCTTCCCAAAGGATATCCCTCTACAAATGGGCGCATTGGTATTTCTGAGCTACAGGGGAGTTGGGTCCCCTTATTCTGTTTCATGGCAACGGGAAAGAGGCAACACCTAAGCAAGCAGTCTCAACTGACAAAAAATTATAATTTATATTTATATTATTACTATAATAATATATATAATAAATAATATTTATAAATATTTAATTTGTAAAATATACATATTTATTATATCAATTAATTAATACAAAAATAAAAATATAAATTTCTCCCCCTAGACTTGGTCACCCTCTGTGCTTCCGTCTTACCAGCCAAAAGAAAAACCTGAGATGCCTCGACGGGCACGCTTCCGGCATGAAACTCAACCGTGCACTTTCACAATATGCCACTGACCAGGCAGCACGTGGGCTGGCTTGTTGTGCCGGGTATCCCCAACCACTTCAAAGGGCGCAGAACCGCGCCGTGGTGTTGAAACAACAAATTTGAAGCTTGCAAACATTAACTCTACAGGTGAGCAAACAATTCAAGGTCTGGTGCCTTTACAAGCGGATTCCATGTCCTGAAAGCGTCCTTCCCCTTTCCACAGAGTTGGTCCTTCCACTCTCGGCCCGGGGCTCTGGCTGTAGGCATCTTTCCAGGTGGCGTCCCAAGCTGCCTGCACCCTCTCGATGAATGCCTGAGCAGAATGCCGCCCTTGGAAGATGTCGGCTTTGCTGGTCCGTGCAGTGCTTCGGAGCTCTTCCCTTCGGGGCCTTTGATGGGATGTTGGATTTCCACATGGCGATGTGAGCTGCCACCCTTGCGTTTGTTCGAGGAAGGCCGAGGGCTCCCGAGCATGGTGGATTCCTTTAGGTACAGCAAATGAATCAACTACCAAGTACAAAACCCTGGCCAACAGCGGTAGATCACAGAGTATACCCTCATGAATGGCAGTAAATCACAGGGTGTCCGACGCGTTTCCGACTGGCCGCCCCAAACCACTTCGCTTAGCCTTTTGGACAGCCTGGGCCCCGGGCATCTGGGCTGGGGCTTTGCGAGGGATCGAGAGGCGCCGACACCGAGGTGACCTCAGCGCTCGCCGATTGGCCGCCAGTCAACGCGTGGAGCGGCTGCCGTTGGTCTCCTTTCCTCTGATTGGGAGCTCGGTGGGTTGGAGTTCCGAGGTAGTTTCGTATTTACCCTGTACAGAAGCCAGTGGGGGGATTGCCCAAATTATGTGGGATTGTCGTCGACCATGGAGCAAGCCTTGAACAAAGGTTAGGCTGCCCTGTTTGGGCAAGGCTGCCCTGTTTGGGCATGGCTCTGAAATCAATGCACGAAGCTCATCAACTCAGATTGCCCGCACTTGGTGGTTTGGAAGGTGGTTTGGGTTTGGATTTCCACCCACTTTATCACTTCGGGGCTTCCACTAGTATGCCAAAGATTGGTCCCAAAAGCAAGCTCCCCAGAACCATGCCCCGACAAAACCTGTCCTACCATGTGGTGTTAGGCACTCGTGTCTAACAAACGTTGGCACCCACCTTATCCCACCCTAAATATTTGCGGCATTGTCTATCAAGCATCTGGGCATGCGTGGTCATTCGGTTGAAAATAGATGACGCTGATTCCAATTTGGTTCAGCCAAAAATATTTGGGTGAGCCGCAAGTCGGCATCGAGTTGGTGGTCAAAAATCCTTTGAATCGATGAGGTTGGACGATCGTGTTTAACCACCCTGAGGCTTCACTTCACACAGAACACCAACAAGTGGTGTGAGTCACTGTCAAAGCTCACGCAGCCATGGAAATGGCTCCCCCGCCGGCAACCGATATGCATCTTAAAGATCTCTATTCAGGGTTGATGGCCATGCTTATCAAAACCATGTGGGGGATCTATGCAACCAACTGTTTGTGAGGGCGCCGTTCTTGTTCCTGGGACCGAAAGGACCAACCATGAGTTAGGACAAGGTTTTGCTCTTGCCCTTGGTCGGCGTTCAGCCCTAGGATGCAAATACTTGGCTGACCCTAAATGGCCCCCTACATGCGTCATAACTAATGGGTCACAACTAATGGGTTTTAGGATGCTACACACGTTGCTTTATTTTGGTGCAAGCTGGAACCCGTTTGTTAGAACTCGTTGAGGGTCCATGAAACCTGTGCATACCACACATCTCATGTTGAAACCCAAACCTCGAGGCGTGCCATCGGCCATCCCAAATTGCGGTCCCCGTTTCCGAGTGCTTGTTGGCTTTGCGGGCCTTGGATTGGTCAAACTGGGATCACGCATCTTAATCCATAATCCGCGGGACACCACTACAAGGGAGGTCACCACTGTCTGGCATAAACATCACCCAAAACTAAAGGGAACCTCTCGAAAAGGCTTTCTACAAAAAAGTGCCCCAAGTAGGCTCGCCTGTAAAAATTAATGGGGACCCAAAAATAGTTGGGGGTACCCCAAACAAATACTTAAGTTAAGGGACCAAAAAAACGTTGTTTGCGATCTCCGCTTGAACAAACCTAAACCCCATTTAAACAAATCGACGCCTTCTGCAGCAAAGGTGCGCACTTGGTGCCACAGCCGATGCTGCAGAACTTCTCGGCAAGGATGAACTCCTTGTTGGAAGTAATGACCTCGGATCGGGGTTCCCTCGATCTCCCTGTTTTGAGGGCTTGAACATCACTTCTTGGGTCTAAAGTGAGTTCCTTTAAGCCGGGTGATGTTCGAAAGGTCAAAAGGGGATCCTGCGGATGGCCTGTTTTTGTTGGTGAAGGATGAGAGGAAAGGTCAAGAAGGTGGCTAACAAACCTACCTGGAACCAAGGCAAGGGGGGAAGCTGGTGAGGTGCTTCTTTTTGAGAGCCTCGTTGAGCAGGCGATGCAAAGGAGCTGGGTGAAAGCATTCCCACTGGCAACCAGATGAAGGGGAATTGGAAGCTGGCGAGGTGCAAGCCCAACGATTGTTGGAAAGAGGGTAACCGCATTGGACACCGGATGAGCCTGTGGTTCAGAATATCCAAGGTCAGAACATGGGTCCTGATTGTAATTGGGGACCCTCTGGTAGACATCCACCAACCAATTTGGAGAAAACCTAAATGCTGTCCATGAAGTCATGACTTGTGCCACGTGTAATCTGAGCCTCCGGCGATCTGCACTGGCCAGCCCAGCTTGTGCGCCTCGGTCCGGCGAAATTTTGGGACTCAAGGGCACCATGGGTTCGTCTTTTTGTTAGCTCGGTACCCTTTTTAGGGTAAAGGGAAATCAAGCAAAACTCCACCCCATTTGGGGGGACTATCAAATTCAGTGTCTAGAATTGGTCATGTTGCTGCCACTTGGGCCATTTCTTTGATCATAACACGGACCAGTCCTGCAAATACATCCCAAACGCCTTCCCATTCCGGCACCCTTGTCGATGCCCTTGCAATGAGTCGTCACTGATCCCGTTTTTGCAACTTGGACATCCTGACGAAGAAGTCTAAGCAGTTATATTCTCTCTAAATTCGTTGGACCCTCCAAAACGGGTGTCTTTGACTTTTCTTCAAACAAGCCAAAGGGCTCTCCAAAACCCCCCAAAAAAAAACTCCAATTGGCACTTGCATGCTTAAGGGTCCTTTGGTACCTGGGATGAACTTTGACCCGTTCCTCCTTTTCGCCCCTTCAAGTGCATCCACAGAAACAACACGAGTCATTCATGGGGGATCCGCAATTGAGTCGGAATGCAAAGCTGGAATATTGGAGTTTATTTGAGTCTACCCCAAAAGGACCCAGCCAAAGCCGATTCGGGTCATTCGAGGGTGGGGGGCGTTCCCAGCCAGTTGAGACACTTAGCATGCCACAAATCACCTCCGTTGCTCTAGTTTAGTCTTCCCAAAGCGGGTGTGTTTGTGCGCGAGTGACTTTTGGGTCCGTAGCAAGGGACCTTCTGGCACTCCATTGTTTCTTTTAATTGCACTTGTGCTTGCTGCTTTTCAGTATGATGCTCCAGAAGAGGGCGGCCTAGGTATTCTCGGCCAAACTTTCGGATGCAGGAGACAAATCAAAGAGCCAGATTTCCCCTTACAAGTGACATTTCGGCACGGCTGCTGCGGTCGGTATCAACCGTCCAGAAGCACAAAAAGGCGCGAATCTGCAAAAGGGATTGATGACATGAAAGGTTGCCTGCGCTCATGTCAAGAGTCATGTCAGGAGTCAACTATCCTACAGAAAGACTGTAATTACTCGGTGCAAACACCCGAAAAAAAGCTGAAGCTCTGTCACATCATGGTTCGGCAGCGAAACTTTCTGAAGAATAGCTCCAGTTGTTTCACCAGACCTCAACCGTGTATTCTCAAAGTTCCTGCACCCATCCCAATTGGGAAAGCGGTACAAACGGGAGAATTGCGCGTGTGCGAACTGCAAAAACCGTCGCCCTCACCAAAGCCCGGCACCGCCACGAGTCCGCCAGGCTTCAGAGGAAGCCCCTGCGGTCGGGTTCAACACACGGTTTCCGCTAGACTCGTTAGACCCTGTGTGACCCTGCGAGGAACAGTACAGGCCTTTCTGTCCGAATTTGGACTCTCTTGGTGAACCTCACACGCCCCTGTACTGTTGGCGGGGCAATCTGTTCCCAAGTCTGCTTGAGGATCGCTGAGTATGCACCCCACACATGATATCGAAAGAAAGGCAAGCGGCCGGCAACTCACAAAGTTGCACAATGCATTTTTGAGAGCTTTGCCATCAGGCTTGCCAGCTGAAAGCAACCAGACATCTTCAAGTCGATAGCAATGTGAAAGTGAGTCAAGGACTGGAAGTGTCACATGCTCTCCAAGGAAACACCTCCCTGGTCCCTTGAGCTCGAGGTCAAGCTTCCTATATTTCCCAAGGTATGCAATCTTCATGGAAAGCTTTCTATTGCATGTGCTGCGTTGCCAACCAAAGGCGGTGAAACCTTCCACACCCTTGTGTCATTTGATCCGCGCTTTGAAGTGTGCCCCCAAAAGGTAAAACCATGTTGCCAACCCATAAGCCATGCATTCGAGGATGAATGTGTTCTCACTCCAGGCGGAGTAAGACAAAGAATACAAAAGAATAGGGACCCCTCATGGAAATGGAAGGGATCCACATCCTCTGTATACATGTCCCACCCATCAGAAAAAGCGAAACATGGTGCTGCTTCAGTCAGGAAACAATGCCGTCCCATTTAAGAAGGGATTCTTCACTTTTGGGGGGTTCGGCAGGTTGATTGATCCGGAGTCGACACCATCGGATACATCCTCATTAATCATAATGTTGCACTAGTCAGAGCAATTTGCTTCGCTGTTCTCAGATACCATCTCTTTGAGTGATCAGCAAAAGGCTCGCAGCTGTTCCGAGCCTCGGGGGCCAAACTACGAGTGCCCTCCGGGTACAGCACGACCTCGGCGCACGAAGGTCTGGCCAAACTTATATACATATGCTGAAACCGATGTTGTTGAAACAGCCTCCTTTTGGTTTCCCTTTAAAGGAATTGGAAACCACGGGCGGTTGTCAGCCCTACAAAAAGCCCCGCGAGGCTTTCAGGATATTGTGGACGAGTTGTTCGAATGACCCTGCCCCATGTGAAACCGGCAAAAGATGAGCCAAGCCTCTGGGAAAACTGTCTGGAGGTCGAGGCCCTCTGTGCAGCTCCAAGGATGCTCCATCACTCCGAAAACTCAGACACTGGCGATTTCGAGTTGGCGAACGGAACTGCATCGGATTGACCGGGACAGATAGTCGACCTCCCTGAAACCCAAGTGGCTCATACACGGAATCGTCGGAGTCACCGCCACTTGTATGTGGCAGGTTACCCCGCATGGAAAGCAGTCCATCCACGAAGTCAAAAAGTCACCGCGCCAAACTTTTCCTGCATGGAACGCACAATCAGTTCAATCAAAATACGCTGTTAAGCATCCGCCAAGTTGCGAAACACAATGAAACGCAAGTCACTGCCACAGAAAGACGCATAGCCAAACTTGGCGCCGGATTGCCGCAAAAGTGTAAAAGATGCATGGAACGCAAGTCCGAGGCTGGGTGAGGTTTTAAAAACAAAATGTCTGCCAAGTTGGAAGGGAGCCAACTCGCATGGAGCCCCTCGTGGTCCTTTTCTCCGTGGAATTCAAGCCCCAGCAACAATCAGAAGAGGCATTTGTAGTTTTGGAAAGGGACCAACTCGCATGGAACTCATCATGTGCCAATGGCCGAACCACAATGGAACGCAAGTCCAGGCAAAAGAGAGTGCTGAGAAGCTCGGGTTGAGGACTTGCAGGGGGCTTTCGGACGAGACCCCGGACGAGACCCCGGACGAGACCCCGGACGAGACCCCGGACGACACCCCGGACGAGACCCCGGACGAGACCCCGGATGAGACCTGCTGAATTTACGAACGAGACCCCCAAAGTGTAACGGATGAGACAAGGCCCGGCAGCAGCAGCAGCAGCAGCAGAAGCTGCAGCAGCAACAGCAGCAGCAGCAACAGCAGCAGCAGAAGGGGGGGGGGGGGGGGCAAAGGCAACAAAGGTAACAAATATGCGCGACAAGCCAAAGAACACGCGCGCAAATCCCAACGGCCAACAAAGGTAACAAAGACGCAAATCCCAACGGCCCACAACATCTACACGAAACTACTCCGCACCCAATTTCAACGCCATTGAAAACACTCAATTCTAAACCCGAACGGTAACGCAAGCGGCTACGACTGTCCCAAGCTGAAATCTCCATGGCAAGCAAATGCCAACATAAAACGGCAGCGACTTCAACAAGTCTGTCTAGGGGGCCAAGAGCAATTCTTTCCTGAGCCAGTCAGCTTCAATTGGGAAGGGTCCGTATGTGCGTGGGTGCGCATCCAACAATCCCAAACATGTACAGATGCATATATATATATACATATGTATACATAAATACACACACGGTCTTCGGAACTGCTTGCGGTCTTCGGCACTGCTTCCATGCATGCTGCCGCTTTTGGAACCCCAACAGGGAGCCCCAAAAATCAAGAGAGCCCAATGCAGCGCCAGCATTGGGGAACCTCCAAAACAAAGTCCGGGGTGCGCCCTTGTTGGTGTAGACCTTGCGGCTCTCGGACCAGAACCTGGCATCCAACCCCAGCGACCAATTTGCGCCGTTTCGGACTGGGAGGGGCTAAGGGCTTGTCTTGAAAGGCATCGCTTTATTGCTGGTCGGCACGTAGCTTGTCCCCAGGGCAGATTGACTCATTGGTCTAGTTGCTCAGCCAGGTCTCATTCTTCCGCACAATGTCTTGCCAATAAGCTCAAAGGACCTGCTGTTATCCAGGCTTCTTGAATTATCCACAAGGCCTCTTGGTCTGGTGCAAAAGGTGATGACTTGTTTGGTTTTGCCAGTCCTTCAGCAAAAACTCTGATTCAAGGGCATGGCAGCAACGGGGGCACAACTGATTTCAATGCCCCCCAACTGGCTCCGACACTGGGTCTTCAGGGAACTTCCTCTCACAGCATTACAACCTGGGTCAAGGCGGCCTTTGGCATCTGAACAGTGCGTTGCTTTCTGACTTCTCGAAATCACTGCACAGACATCCCTGCCTCCAACGGCCCAACTTTCCAGTCTCTGCATCCATTAAACAACAACGCGCCAGGTCAGCAATGAAACCTAGTCTCCAGTCTGCATATCTCTCTGACTCTCCCTCTCTCTCTCTCTCTCTCTTTGCAGATCCTTGAAGCTGATGCATTTGTACCTTTGATTGCCTTGGCAAATCCTATTGGGCTGGAACTGTCCTGCATTGCCTTTGAGTGCCTCGCAAGTAAGTTCAGGACAGCTGGCAGTGCAAGTGACTGCAATAATTGCGGTATGGATTCCAGGTATGGATCGAACGTATGGATCGTGTGTGTGTGTGTGTAGAATCATGCCCTTGAACTATTCCCTTGGATCGTTTGTGGCAACCAACCATCGTCTTAGGCGGCCTTTTTCCCAGGTGAGCCGGCTGTAATTTATATAATGTGTGCTGAAATATCAATCAGCTACCGGAAAGCCTGAAAGCAGACCGGCTCCCGCCTGCAATGTGTGAAGTGTCCTCAAGATAGCAATGGACCCTCCTTGCAGATGGTATTTAAAATGAACTTCAAAAGGGAAACAAATCCACTTGTGGTGGTTTCCTGTGTTGTGTTTCATGGTGTGTTGAGAAAGCGTCGTGACGAAAGGAGTCACTTTCTAACGGCTCCCTTTCTTATGGTTGATGGTGGTGAGGCTTCGCACAACTTTGGGTTCGGACGGCATTCGGCAAACTGCTTTTGTTGCAACTGCAAAAGGGCCTGCCGGGCTTTCGGGGTTCGGAACCTTCCATCGCTCGTATTCCGAAGCAGCCTTGGGGTCTATTTAAACCTGCCATGGAAGATGCTAGACACAAGGGATGGTCTTCAGACCGCAAAGCAAAACGCTACAAGTTTGGGTGGGGACCGTCCTTCAGAAGTCTACACTTGGGGCACGTGAGTCCCATCTCAAGCGAGCCGGAGCAGCTGCATGGTCCACTCCACGGTGCCCTCCGCGCGCTTCTTCCCACGCTGAAAGAACCTCTGGCAAGGAAATTTGCATGGGGAGTATGTTGTGAGGGATCATGTGGAGGACTCTTCGGGTCTCATGGCTGCACATACACCCAAACTCTCTCCGCATGTGGAGGCCAGTAAAGCTCCGAGAGAGCCCTCTAAACTTGTCGGCGATAGTAGAAGGTGCAAGTGCCTTTTCTCCGCCGTAGGCCAACTTGTTTGCCAACGAAAAACTGCACCCTTGTTCCGCGCATGGGCAGTTCGCGGCCAATTGGATATAGGCCTCTATATCCGCCAACCCGGGAAGGGTGGCATTAGATAGAAGTGATGCTCGTGGCGATAACCAAACTTATCTAAGGATCGCATCGTTTGTCTACGGGCTACATCGTTCCAATTGCTACCTTCGGCGGGGATGCCAGTGGTAGCAACCAGTGTAGTTCACGGGCAGTAATTACTTTTGATGCTGGCAGTTTAGTTTTATTATATGTACGATTCAATTGTTCCGTCAGACATTCTTGTACATTTCTGCAATATTTGTTTGGGTTCCGTCTGGGCTCGATCCGGGCAGGCTTATCCCCAGCATGCCCAGCATTCTCCACATCACCACCATTGAAGCATTGGGAGCGGGGCACATGCATTTAGAGCATCATTGAGAAGGCTTCCCCTTATGAGGTCGCTAGAATTCACTCAGAAGAACGCCAAGCTGAAGTCATGGTCAAAACACATTGGGTCGTTTTGGTTCCCTTGATCGAAACTATTACAAGGGTTGTCCAACATCCGGAATTCATTTCCATGCCTCCCAACCCCAAGGGTGTCAAAAGGCCATGGCGCAAAACCCTGTGGACAAATATGAACACCCAAAAGTTAAAAGGTTGGCCTTAGAATTTCTTGGGTACTTCCAAAAAGGTTGCCAAGGCCCCCAAAAAAACACGGAAATCCCTCAATAGTTTTTTTGCAGCTACCATTTGCTGCGCATCCTCCCACCCCGTCGATTCAATATCATGCATCGCCCATGGATTTGGCCGGAAAATCTGAATCCAAGAGACCGCAAGAAAGGAATCTGCAATCCTCATCATTACATTACGGTTCAACTTGCGCAGGCCCATGTTGTGCCGCATGTCCCCAGTATTCCAAGTAAGGGAATATGAGGAACCCTGTCATTCAACGCCGGTCACCACTGTTTCGTGTTTGCACGTCTTAAAAAGCTTAAGGAATCCACCATCCTGAAAGGACTCAAACCCAAAAAGGGGCCCCTAGGCTCGGATGCTTCGAGTAAGCCACGTTGCACTTCAGCCGGTCAAAACTGCTTCTGGATGGCTCTCAAACACGCAGGCCCTACAGGCAGACAGGTACATAGATAGATAGAAAAACAGGTAGATTGATAGATAGATGATTGAATGATTGAATGATTGAATGATTGATTCATTGGCTGATTGATTGATTGATTGATTGATTGATTGATTGATTGATTGATTGATTGATTGATTGATTGATTGATTCATTCATTGATTGATTGATTGATTGATTGATTGATTGATTCATTCATTCATTCATTAATTCATTAATTGATTGATTGATTGATTGATTGATTGATTGATTGATTGATTGATTGATTGATTGATTGGTTCATTCATTCAATGGTAGATTCATTGCTTGATTGTTGGTTGGTTGATTTGGTTGATTTGATTTGACTGACTGACTGACTGATTGATTGATTGATTGATTGATTGATTGATTGATTGATTGATTGATTGATTGATTGATTGATTGATTGGTTGACTGGTTGACTGATTGGTTGGCTGACTGATTGAACGTTTCAATGGTGGGTTGATTGGTTGCCTGATTGATTAGTTCTTTGATTGGTTGGTCGGTTGATTCTTTGACTGATTGATTTGTCTATCTTTCTGGCTAAGCTCTCATTATGTGTATATATATATATAGTTATGTTTATAGCTATGTATGTTTCTTGGGGAACCCCCGTTGGGGGGGGGCAGAAAAAGCGCACCCTGATCTATCGACCTTAACTGTTTGCTTATTTATCAGTCCTCCCGAATCTGATCTATCCTGACTGTCATATCCACCTCATCTACCTATCTATCTATCTGTCTAGCCATCTATCTATCCATCTATCTATCTAGCTATCTATCTTCTTTCTATCTATCTCGTAATCTTTACATTTAATCTAATCTGACCGACCTAACCTACAAACCTCATCTAATCCAATCAACAATCGATCTATTTTGTCTCTCCATCTGTCTCCCCGGTCTGTCCCGACTTCCTTGCAATTTGTACCTCACCTTGCGAAAGTGCTGCGCATGCCACGAAATATGCTCCTCACCTTGCGAAAGTGCTACGCCTGCAACGAAATCTGCCCCTCACCTTCCGAAAGAGCTGCGCCTGCCGCGGAATCTGTACCTGACCTTGCGAAAGCACCGAGCCTACCACGCAAACTGATGCTGCGAAAAGCGGGAGCCCGCGCGTCCATGCCAAGCTCCGAGACTCTTGGATCACGCTCGGAACGCGCTCCCAACACGCCCTGAGCGCGCGACCAGGCAATGCAATCAGGCGAAACCGACAGAAGGTTAAACGTTACAATTCCGCCGCCACACGCGCACGCAGTACCACGGAAGTTCCTTCTAAACTTCCTTTGAATCCCCCCCCAACCTGCAGCAGACCTCGTTTTGTGTTCGCGTTGGAAGACACACGCCGGAAACTCCCTCTCTTTGGGCCCCTACCCACTGGACTCGCTCGCCTATGAGTGAACTTGAGCCCGGCGCCAGATCCAGCCCTGCAGGTAGCCCCAGACTGCCGAGAAGGGGATCCCCAGTGCCACCTCGACGGAAGCTACAGCAAGGGACCGAATGACTTGCTTTTTATCAACAGAACATTGGGAAATATTGGGGTGAGCCTCCCCAATTAACAGTAGACCAGCAGAATTGCATGCCTGCACGATGCTTGGCTGGGTCTCAGGAACTTAACTAGCGGCGGCAAAGGACAGAGGCCGCAAGAGAGTAAAAGAGAGAGAGAGAAAGAGAGAAAGAGACTAAGATAGAAAAGGAGAAAGAAAGAAACAAAGCAAGAAAGCAAGCAAGAAAGAAAGAAAGAAAGCAAGAAAGCCAGAAAGCTAGAAAGTACAAGAAGGCCCAAGAATTATCCACAAATGTCCTAATACTCAACCCAGACTTGTCGGAGAACACCTTGGCGCTTTTGGGCTTGCTTCAGCGAAGAAAATATGGAGCCCTTCTACGGAAAAGTCCAAACAAGAACTGTCCAAGGTCAATGTCGGGTTCACCTATGCCTTCGCAATGCCAGGCAACCCGAAATCCAGGGCCACCACACCCCCCCTCAGAAACTGGTTACTTCCATTTTTCAGCCACAACTTCCAGGTGACTTGCCAAAAACCGAGGGGGTTTGGCTCCCAAAACCGCACTCAGGCAAACAAGAGGCAAGTGCAAGTCTGAGGCCGGTGCGAGCCAGCGCGACACAAAGGAAGGGCTGCCCAGAAGCACAGCATCCACCTGGGAAGGACGTCGAGATGCGACTGACCAAAATTCGACCTCTCACGGCAAAAACAAATGGACTGTGATTGCAGGGTAAATGAACTACCTCATGGGACAAGGATCTTCCGTGTTTTTGTAGCTTCGTCGTGGTTTCTAGGTTTGACTCAACGGATTGAAAGGTTTGGGCTTTTCGTGGTTTATAAGGTTTTGAAGGTTTGAAGGTTTGGAGGCTTGGAGGCTTGGCTCATGATTCGCCTTCAGCCCATCATTTACCTTGCCTCCAATTGCCAGAGAAGAAAGCCCGCTCACCTTATCCCAAACCTTACCCCTACACCCTCCCATTGTCAGCTTGCCCCGAATTGAAATTCCTTGTTGATGATTTGGTTTCCCTGGTAGTTTGCTTGTTTGTTTGTTTGTTTGTTTGATGGTTTGGTGGTTTGGTGGTTTAGTGGGATGGTGGCTTGGTGGTTTGGTTTCAAGGTGAGCTTCAGCTTCAGAGCCGCAAAGCACCAAATCAAATTATGAATCTGCATATTCTGCTGATTTGTGGTGGATCCTGGGTCAAACAAGAGCAATGCAGCCAAGCTGAGGCCGGAAACCCCTCAACAAGGCGACAATATCAAGCTGATGCCCCGTCAAAGAGTAAAACATGCATAGCGTTACTCAGTACTGGCGGGTTAAAGCTAAAACTGTTTTCACCGGGGGGCTCGTCTTGAAACTCCAGGCGAGCTCCTTGAAGCCTGTGCCGAGGTACTGCCCGAACTTTTTGCGGGGCGGTCTTTCCCATCCCTCGTACGTTTAGAGTGTGGCGGACCTCACTTGGCCAGCCGGAGGAGGGAACAGTCCACAGTGATTTGTCGCGTTCAGGCAGACAGGCAGCTAGCTGGAAAGAAGCTAATATTGGGCAAATGTGCCTCCCCGCATAGCCTATCTTCTTCTTACCTACAAATCTCCCTCCAAGAGGAGTATAACCCCACACTTATTTATTGGGGAGTTTGGGGCCTCCTCTCTTAAGCCTAAATATACACCCAAACAAACCAACACATTGGAGGAAAGAAGGTGTTTTATGAAAATATGTGTCATTACATTTAATGATCAAGCCTCAAACTCCACCCCGTTAAATTATAAATGGAGACCCTGCTTACGCCCAGCAAGAAATTGCAGCTCGCGAACGTGAGTGGGGGTCAAACAATTCAGGAAGTAGAGGATGTGGGCGTGATTTTGGCGGGGAACCCCCTTTGAGGTGGGCTTTTGAAGAGAAACCTCAAGACAACCAGCGGTTTGAAGGTCTGCTTTTCGCATTTCGAGAAGAAACAAATACGCATTGGCACAATCCAGGTGTTGCCAGCCGCGGCACTTCCACAACAGCCATACGAATGAATTAAAATGCCAAACCTAGACAACAGAAGAAGACAGCACAAAAGGTGGGGAATCAAGTGGACTGGCCAAATGGCAAAGATCCTCGTGTTCTAAACACTGGGCTGCTCGAGGGCCAGTCGTGATGCGAAGCTTAGGGAGCCCCTTCTTTTTCAACCCTCCCAACGGCTGCTGCTTGTCTTTGCTTGCCAATAATCATGAAAGCGGATAGGAGGATTTTGGATGACACCATCATCTTGACAAGGCCTTCTGTCCACCTACATGTTTGAAGGTTCCCACTGTTTTTGCGGGAGCTGCAACTCGATGTCTACTGCAGTGTCTGCCAAGCTTGCAAAACAAGATGCGCAGATTCGGAGACGTTGTCGAGGCACGTTATGAATGACAATGTGGAAACGGTCTTGCAGGTGCCGTGCGCGATGCATTCGTGAGACAAACTGCGCACGCCATGCATAACGCAAGTTGTTGCCATATTGTTCAACCCTGCTACCTGTTGCTTCGAAATCGAACCCCTGGTTGATTAATACCGGGCTGGGGGGGTGTCCCATCTAAGAGGGGTCTTGATCACTATTTGGGGAACACAACCACTACATCCATGCGCGTTTGTTTGTGTAGGTGTCGCCATAGGGCCCTGGCCAGAAAGTCCCCCCAACTCCTTGCAGGCGCGGACGCGAGGTGGGCTCGAGGTGGGGGTGCCCATAGGATTTGCATCAGAACCCCTCAGAAGGTTCTAAGTGTATGTAGATGTGTAAGGTCATGGGCTCACCGGCTCAAAGTTGCTCACGTGAAGCACCGGGAACTTGACAAAGGCTGCGGCTTTGAAGGATCAATCTCCAAAGGCGCTCTTGTGACCTCCAGGGTCTGCCTTGAAAAATCAAAAGAAGGAAGATTAGGGAAGCGCCGAAGGGGTCTGCCACGAACTATGTAGAGAATCAAAAGGTCGGACTGTCCCTTACCCTCCCAGGTTGATGAAAATCGGTGGCGAGGCCGGCCCCGTCCTATGGTTGGACAGGAACACCACGGGGGTGGAGGTGTCGTCCTCACTGCGAGAAGGGCTGCTCATCATGCGGGCGCGTGTGGGAGCTTTGTGTACATGCGTGTATATGCGTGTATGTGCATCCACGCATACATAGTTACATTGAATATGCTCATAGTGACTAGCAATCACATACTGTTCCACGCTTCCAGCTCCATGCCTCCTTTCTTCGCGCCTTACAAGGGAGTCCATGAAAGGGGTGTCCCATTTGAGAGGGGATCCTTCACACGGGCGAACACACTCCAGTTTAGTTTGAATCTCATTGGCCGCTCACACAAAGTTTAGCCATGTGTAGCCTGCACCAAATGGGATTGATCTTGCTGGATTTCAAGCAGAGCCCGGATTTATGTATCCACGCAATTGAATTTCAATCCGCACCGCCCCCCAATAAAATTGAAATGGAAGCGCTCTTTGGCACAATTTCACACGAGCGAAACCAAAGCCGGTGCTCAGTTTCCGCAATCTCCTTTGCAGGAGGGTAAGAAACTGACAACAAGGAGGAAATCCCAAAAGGCACGTTTCCTTACTCCACCCTAGGCCCTCCCGCTTCCAACTCCGAAGAGTCATGTTGCCTCGACAATCTGAGTTGCAGGCCAGCACGGGATGCGAGGTCGCCGTTGTGGCGAAACCTCAGGATGCATAAATCATCTAGCTGTCTATAGATGATGCTCTTTTTCACGATCATGGAGACTAACAAACCAAGAGGACCTTCACATTCTACTCATGCAACGAGTTCTCGGACTGGACTGCACAAGCAATCTTGCCTCCAAACAGTACTGATGGAATCTGCCACCCGCAAGTGGGGGGATCTCAAAACAGGGGGTCCAAACAAATGGTCATTGCCCATGTGTTTCTCTTACATGCGCCGATGCTGAATCTGAACCCGGGGCTAGGCGAGCCACTAGCACCCACCAGGCCCGCCAGGTGCTCCCCGGTTAGGTGAGGCGGCACCTGGTCAACGTGCAGAAGAGGTATTCTCGAGGGTGCCCTTTTGGCTAGTCTAAAGGAAGCCAAAAGGAAGAAACACTTCTTAAGGGCCCCCTATGTTGGTTCTTTTCTGATCATGGGGTAGTCAAGTGCCTACCCCCACTGCAACTGCTAAGGCCCCTTCTAAGTACCAGTCCCCACATCTGTGCGAATTCAGCATGCCCGGACAACTGTTTATAAACGCAAAGACCATTGAGCCGCGCGGAGGGATGACGAGACATGGCTTCCAGCAGAAGGGGGCTTGTCCGCCGATGCCAAGTGCTAAGGGGAAACACTGACCCACCCCCCCACAAAAGTTCTCAACCTTCAATCACATCCCCTAAGTTCTAAGAGCACTTCCTGGGGGGCAGGTGGGAATTTGGTTTCCTCCCCAAACCGGGTGTTTCTCAAAATAGGGGTCCATGTCCTGAAACAGCTTTCCCTTTGGCCTCCCAAAAGGGAGGCCCACCACATCGGCTGATCTCTCCAAGGTGCCGCGATGCCTAGGATCAGCAAGAGAGCGCAGAGGCCGTGGAGGAACTGCGCGGCGCCCGGCTCGGTTTCGATCCAAAGGAACCCATTTGTTGGAACCCGTACAGCCAAAAGGAGACCCGGTTGTGGGTGCGCAAGTCGAGTGCTCACGAATGGAGATGACAGATCTTGGACACAAAACTTGAACCAAGATATCGAAACAAATGTTAGCTTGTAGTTGCAGCAGTGGTGTCCATCAGGTTGCTTCGCTTTGTGAGTATGCAGAATGTGATATTAGTCAGGGAATTAATTGATGGAGTAATAAGCAACAGAATAAAGATATGAACATCTCTTAATTTCCATGTCTGTCTTTATAATCAAATGTTGTACACAAGGAAAGGAAATTGAGAGCTGTACAATGATAAGGTTGAGAAAGCCTCCACTGATGCTTCCATTCAGAAGGATGCCCAACCAACCCACCCACCAACCAGCCAACGACCCAATGACCCAACGACCCAACAAACCAACGAACCAACAAACCAACGAACCAACGAACCAACCAAGCAACGAAGCAACGAAGCAACGAAGCAACGAACCAACGAACCAACCAACCAACCAACCAACCAACCAACCAACGAACCAACCAACCAACCAACCAACCAACCAACCAACCAACCAACCAACCAACCAACCAACCAACCAACCAACCAAGCAAGCAAGCAAGCAAGCAAGCAAGCAAGCAAGCAAGCAAGCAACCAACCATCAAGAGCGGAGCAATTCCTCGGATTTTGGTTGGTGGCGCCTGCGTATACAGCACAGCACCCAGGAAGATAGGGACCTGACATCCGGAGGATTGGACCGGACTCGGGTCTGGCTTAAACCTGTGGAAAGTGTAAAAAGTTGAAACCCCTCTTGTTCACAATACCTGCAACCTAAAGCCTGCTTCGTGGCTACGCAGGTCGGGGGTTCCAGGCTACAATGTTTGCGCAAGTCCTCATGCTTGTGGTGAAGGATCAACCCTCCACACATTCGACATTGAAATCTGCAAGACACAGCGGACAACAAAAGAGTCTTTCCCCAAAAGATACCCGCAACATCGCCTGTTTCACCAGGGGATCCTCTAAATCAGCTGGCCAATGCTATGCATCCTTCAAGCAACCACAAAGCTGGACAGTTGCTGACACCACCAAGAGAGCAGTTGCGTATACCCAACTGCAAACGGCACAGGCAAATTCTAAGAACTTACGCCAGACATGCTCTGAGAACCTTGCAAAAGTGTTGAAAACGTCATGATAGGGCTACATCACACTATGCTAAAACAAATGCTGCGGGAAACAAATGCTACATCTGCCGTTTGCCATGCTGTGAAACAAACCAATCATACCCTGCACAAATCTGGAACCAGGCTCCAAATATGCTAGCCGTATGTTGCGGACTTGAGCTGAAACTCAATCGGGCCAGACGCATTTGCAATAGATGCTCGAAATTCCAGACATGTGACAGGAGAGTTCAAGGTGATGCTTGCATCACGCACACAAGAAAACAAATAGGACTGCACAACCATTGTGCTGAACACGTGCTAGACATATCACACAAGTGCGGTTTATATATGCTAGACATATGCTGAGACTTCTGGACATGGTCTAGACATATGCTAAGCCTCGTATGTATGCCGGACACGTGACATACAAAAAAGGAATCGGAGATACACCGGAAGCGGTAGAACACATAAGTAGAAACTAGATATATGCTTGAAACAAGGCAGACCTATACTAGAAAGTTGACATCGTGTATGTGTGTGTGTTGGAAGCAAGCGGAAACTGTCGTGTCCATGCTAGGTAGACTGGACATATAGCAGAAACCCGCCAGACATATTGTGCAACTACCATGCAAGGTCTGCTACACACCTGCTTCATGTATGTTTGGCTGATGTCAGACGTATGCTGGTATAGCTGACAATGCACTAGACATCACGCAACAGTGCATGCTCCATTCAAAACGCAAACGCACTGAAAAAAGATGTGTCTCAGAAGCGCAGTCCCGATGGCAAAACACTCTCTCACTCTCGCTCTCGCTCTCGCTCTCTCTCTCTCTCTCTCTCTCGCTCCCCATCTATCTTTCCCTCGCTTTTTCTTTCTGTGTTTTTTTTGTTTTTAACGGTCTGCTTATTTCTGTCTTGCTGTCTTTCATTATTTACTATTTCTCTATATATGTACTGTTCTTTCTTTCTTTCTTTCTTTCTTTCTTTCTTGCTTTCTGTCTGTCTGTCTGCCTGTCTGTCTGTCTGTCTCTCTTTCTTCCAGTGTTTCTTTATTATATCTTTCTTGTTTCTTGTCTTTTCTTCTATTTTATGTTCTTTGCTGCTTCATTGCTTTTTTGTTCTTTGCTTGCTTTCTTTCTTTCCTTCCTCTTTTCATTATTTCATTATTGCATTATTCTATTATTTCACTACTTCATTCTTTCATTTTTTCGTTCTTCCATTCTTTGTCTCTCTCCCTCTCCCCCTCTCTTTTCTTCTTTCTCACTCTCTCTCTCTGTGTCTCTCTCTGTCTCTCTATTGTTTTGCTGGGGGCTCCTACGAGACGCTAGGCGCCCGACGCACAGCGGCCGACACTTTGGAGGCCCCTTCCTGAGAGGGGGGAGCCTCCTAGGGGAACGGGGAACAGGGATTGATTAAGTAAGCCCTTACCCTTTCTCCAATGCAAGTGGCTAGTGACTGTCTTCTAAAGCCCTCCTCACTTCCAAAAGAGATGTAAAGGGTTAGGCCCGCAAAGACCCCCCACGGTCCGAGAGGACTAGACATCCCAACACACTTGCCAAGTTGACAGCATGCTACTACAGACTTTGCCGTACTTGCATGTTTCATAGGTATGTTAGTGCCGCAAAATGACCTTGAGAACAGCGCTTGGTCTTTTTTCAATTCAAGGAGCTTTAAAATGCATGAAATGTCTTCTCTTCCTATACTGAACAAGGATCAATCAAATCCAAAAGAGGGCTCTCGAAATGGTCCCCTACGTCCTTTGCCAGGCGACACTTGCGACGTGCCCTTCTCCATGGAGCTCACCATCCTCTCCTGCTCCTCCTCGCCCGAGTTAAGAAACCCCAGAGGGCTGGAACCGAGGGGACACACCTCTGTCTTTCCCCAAGGGTATATGTTTTTTGGTTGCAGAAATCCACTACACTTTCGGGGGTCACTTTTTGGGGGGTTCAAAGGGAACTCAAAGAAAAGCCACCTACTCTGCGGGGGAGCCTGGTTTTGAGACGAACCCCAAAAGGCCATGGAGGCGCTCTCCCTCCGGCTTCCCCTCTGACAGAGTGTACCAGCACAAAATGTCTGAGTCACAACCAAAACTTGGCACTCAAGGGTTCTCCCCAAAACCCAATGGATACGCATCAAAAGGGTGTCCTGCCGTCCCGATTTTTTGTAGCTCAACTAATTCTCTTATCGAAGGGTGGATCCACCTGGTGCTTGGCGCAAATGGCCGTGCAGGCACTATGGCCACCAAAGAACCTCCACTGCCACCGAATCAATGAAGGATGAGTCCTGGAGTATGGTGATTTACGCCTCTTTGGTCTCACTGGTTTGGGAAACCGAAATCTGCCTATCTGAGATTTGGATTCCCAAAGGAACGGGGGCCGTATCTTCTTGGCTTCCCAGATCCGTCCTCGGACATCTGCAGTCCTGGCGAGAAGTTCCAGTGTGCGTGCTCGCACACATCTGCAGGATACACCTTGCGGTGAAGCTTGTTGCAGGCTTGTGAAGAGGAGCCTGCACTGGACTGTACCTTGCCTCTTTGCTTTGGGAAAATGAATGGATGCCACTGGAAACTGAAAGAACCCAAACTGACACCAGATAACATCCGCCTTTTTCAAGCAAACTGAAAGGACACCTGCCAGATTCCGAGGCGGAGCGAAAAAAACATGAATGTTCACAAGGGAGGAGACATATACACATGGCTGCCTTATTGTATGTTTGCTGATTTGTGTTTCCCTTGTGTTTGACTTGGTTATTCTCTGTTTTGTTGGTTGAAGGTGAGATGATATCAAATGTGAAAGAGGTGCTTCTACTGTCTGAATACATCTGACTCCAAAGCCTCTCTCACACAGCATGAAAGACATGGGGGATCCAGTTCAGTGGGTGGCCAAACAGCAAAACTCATATTGCGGGAGACCACCCATACACTAGCAGTCGCAGTCTGCTTCTACACCTCAAGCCCACCGCACTCCTGCGGCGGCGCGCACAGCGGACAAGCCGCGATGTCACGATGGATCGGCGCAAAAGTGGGACGCAGCAACGCCCTGGGTTCCTTTGGGTAACATGTCCAGGCTCGAAAAACATCGACAAAAGGCAGCTCATAGAGGCAAGTGGTCCTTGCCAAACGCGCTGGGTTAGACCAAATTGGGAAACGTAAGGAAGCCTGTCCTATGTTTGGGCAATGGGGTAGGGAGTGGCTTGGAGCATGCCGCTTCAAGCTTCCAGCAACATGATGAGCGCTGAGGTTGCAGAATCTGTGCACTTCCTTGAGCCAGACCAGGCAAAGTGCGGCAAGAATAAGCCATCAAAGCCTGGTATCAAAGGAGTCTACCCAGAACCCGCAAAGAGTCACGGTGCAGCGCAAGTTTTCAGAAAGGGCGCGATCCCCTCCTAACATTAATCTGCCCGCGTTTTGATAGCTCCAATGGCCTAGCCGCTTGAGGCAAATGGATCTTCACCCTGACCTGGTGCATTCCGTGAGCCCTACACCCTCAAGCCCACAAGCAGAATATCCTTTTCCAATTCAACGGAAACACTATCCAATTCTACACCCCCATGAGCCACCAGAATATGCGATTCCGGTTTTGGACATGGGATAGTTTGGGTTCCCCCCATGCGGATGTGCTTTCAAACCAAACAGCAAAGGGTACCAAGCCTCAACAAAAAGACACACCAATGCCAACCCCCATCCCTCATTCCATCCCACCCCTCGCTACCTCCGTGGCACACCAGGAGGGCTCGATGCAGAAGCCCTTCTCAGAGCACCTCAGGCAGCCCCAAACGGACAACACGTGAGCCGATTGAAAACCAAGAAACCCCCCAAAGCCCTGGACACCATGTGAGGAAATTCGAAAACGACTCCGAAGGGATACAAAAAACCCGAAAAGCAATACACAGGACACATGAAGTATGGCCTCAGTTCGGTGTGGTTGATCAGATGAAGCAAGCTGCGGCCATGTTGAAAATACCATGGTTCATCGCTTGCGGGTGGGTCATATTAGGTTGGAATCTATTATAATTTTGGTGATACACGACGCGAGCAGCAGACCTATTCACAGCAATCTGACTATCATCGGCAAACGATGGCCAGTACTTCGCATGCGAGAATGGAGAGCTACAAGGGTGAAGCAGTCGGCCTGATTTCAAGCTGGTGTCAACCGTTTGCTTGCGGAGCATACAAGTTCTCAAAGCATCCTGGACACGCTGTGGGCCATTTGGCCCAAGACATGTTGCAATGCACTCATTGCCCGGATGCTGGCCAGGTATCAACTAATGGAACCAAACTCACTGTGACACATGCCAGTGACATTCTAGCAAGAACAAATACGCTTGGCTGGCATTGGAGGGAAGGAACAAAAAAAAACGAGACAGAGAGAGGGAACAGAGAAACAGCGGAAAAAAAAGAGACCGCAAGAAAGGAAGAGAGTAAGAAAGGGATAGAAGAAGAGAGCGAGCGAGAAGAAAAACAACAAAAAGCTGCCGAGGCAAGGCTGGGGCCGCAGCTTTCCATCCACCTGCGCATGGCAGTCCTGGCTGCGTACGTGGGTGTGTTGTCTTGGAAGGTCCCCGGATAGGATGGTGACTCAAAACGCTGCTGATCTCCGGGAAACAGCAGGGAACCAAACCATTTCTTTTGCTGGTGGGTGGCCTGTGGTGATGCCATGGGAAACCGACTTGCTGGTTCTGAGCAGGCAATCAAGAGGTTTGGGGAATGAACCTAACCCTTCATTCCCTTGAGGGAACCGGCAAACAAAAGGTTTCCACGGTGCTCATCCCTTCAAGTGTTGCTTCATCGCTGCGTCCCTCTTGTTCAGGCCCCGAATAGGTAGTTCTCCACTCAGGGGATCCTTCAGATGAAACCCCACTAGACTTTAGCACGAGGGCGACAAACAATGCGTCACTATGCCACATGGATAGTCCCCGCACCTTTGGGCGGGAAAAGTAAGGAGGGTGGGGCCCGCCACGTCTGCCAACTGTCCGCGTCTCGCATTGGGCCAGGAATCCGACTCACAAAGACGGCGGCAACGTTCTGAAGCGCCCTGACCTCCTTTGACAAAGCTGACGAGGGCGAGTTGAACAACTTGACTTGTAGAACCTTGTTGAAACTGCTTGTTTGAGGCCTTAAAATTACCCAAGCATTTTGAAGGGGTGAGATAGATTGGACAAGCCAAACATGTGCGGCTTCGTTTTGGCTTCGCTGAAGCGTTCTCAGTCTACTTCCAGAGTGCAGAATCCGGCCGAATCTCGTAAAGCTCCACCAAAAGAAAACCTCACATTTACAGTTGGGTGAAAGAACAAAGCAAAAACCCATCATTTGTGTGGTGTCATCCCCTCCGTCTACTTCCACCGGCGTCCGGCCTCGTCGCTCTCGCAGGGCATGTCTCTGTCCTCGCAGACCCCGCGCCTCGTTGATTCGCCAATGGAAGGAACCCAGCTGCACCCCGGTTAACGAGTGGCCTGAGTGGAGCCTGGGAAACCATCTTGGAATCGAGGGGTGCAATGTTTGAACTTTGCATTCCAATGTTTGAGTGTGTGGTGACCTTAATTATCGAAAGGAACAGCCAGACTGAAAACTGAGAATTCCTAGACGGCCGCATGAGACTATTCTGTGCCCAAAATTCGGGGACAAGGGATAACCCACGGAGAGAGAATCTGGCCATGGGACAAGGGTGCGTTGATGCAACTCAAAACACATGCCCCCATGCAGCCCAAATGTATAGACCTGTTGCTACCCCACAAGTCGGTGTGCAAAAACGTTGTCCCCCGCTGCCCTGAGCACGCACATCTTCTCACCGAAATTCTGAACCAGAACAGCATTTCTGCAAAGCAGTCGCATGTTGGCAGCAGTCGCATGTTGGCAGCAGTCGCATGTTGGCAGCAGTTGCTTGGTTCAGCGAAATCAAGGGTGTTTGTTTCAGCCCCTTCCCCCCTTTCACCAACACGGTTTGCAAGACTATCCCGTTCTCTGTTCCTTGCGAATCATGCATGGGTCAGAACGCCGGCCAGACCGGGATTCTGCGCGTGTCTCGTAATATGCGTTGCCATTCTCTTCCCGGTTTCTCACACCAGTTGGCTCTGACCAGAGAACGAGCAAAAGCAGGCCTGGACACTTTATGGCAACTTTATGGACTTTGGAAACATCCGATTCATGAGCCCCTGTGAGCCCAACTGTTGGCTCACCATCATACAAAAACAGCCAAAACACAAAAACGGAAGGCAGCACACAAAGCAACAAACTGAACAAAAACAGAAAAGCAATCTGAACAAAACCAGAGGTAAAAGAACTGGAAGAAGCTCTGCGCAAGCTCTGGGCCCCACTTCTGGTGCGTGAGCGCTTGCCGCGTGGTCACCTTGGAGGAATCAAAGGATCTACATCCATTTGGTTCAATACGTATGCGTCTATGGACAAATGGCTTTGGGTTTTCCTTTTGGCTTCTGGCGCGGGTCTAGTGTCTCTGGGGGAGCGTGGCAGATACTGCCATGATTGGACTTCCAACCCCAGGTCCCAAGCTGTCCAAAATATGCATGGCATGCCGATGGCCATGGGCAATGTCGCCGAGGACTATCCTGGTTCCAAGAAAATCCAAGCTTGATTGATGGTGAGATCCCGTTCTCCCTGAACAAGCCAGCAGCTTTTCTTCAAAACCGGTGGGGGGTCCGTTCCAGGTGGTTGGTGTCCTCTTGGTTTCACTTCAGCGGACCCACGGGAGTTCATCTGCCCTTTCGCGCGTCGAGCTCTTCACACCTTTATGAAATGGCCCATCTTTCCAGGGAAGATTGCTGGAAGGTTGCGGCTGGTAGTTACCAAGAACTAACGTGACCCCAGCAATTCCATGCCAGTGCTGAAAGAGTCCTTTGACACCATGCCTCTGCTTGGCACCCACAGAATCCAACTGAGGCCTCGGGCAAAGACGTTGCCGTTCTCCAGGCCGGGAGTGGTAATCTCCTGGTTTGAATGATCATGCGAAAACCATGTTCAATGGTTGCCAAACATTTGTCGTGAACATGCACATGTGTCTTTTGTGAATGGCTTTGAATGAACTGGTCTAGCACCCAGTTGCGCTGGGGTCTGGTTGCTTAAGCGTGCAACACAGCGCCGAACATCTTTCAGCAAGGTTGCGTTAACCAAATAGCATATCCTTAAAAAAACAAGCTGCAAAGTCGTACCTCATATACACATATACACATATTCACATATATGTATATATATATAGAGAGGTATCAGTACTCACTCATTCAGTGGAATCTTCATTTATACGTGAGGGTTTTTTCCATTGCTTTGCAGCCAGCACAAAGGGGCAGGTCTCTGCACACTGCGTGTGCTCCTGCATGTTCCTGCAAGTATGCGAAGTCACATCGTTGGCCAACGCGCTCAGATTTCCAACCAGTTGCCAGTCGAGACTAGACTGGTGACATTTCCTGCGTGTTGCACACAACCAACTTACCCAGAGTCAAATTGGCTGTTCGGCGCCAGCGAAAGATAAAACTCCATCCTACAGCTGAGCTACGTCAAGCTTAGGTGTGCATCGCCCGCTTGCTTGTTCTCCCAAGTCGCCGAGTTGGGATCAGTGACCGGCTCAGCTCGGTGGGTTCCATGGTGCTGCTTTGGTACTTTGGGCGGCTTGGAACCTATGGGGTGAGGATTGCGGCCTCTCAAGAATAAGTCAGACACTACAAAACAAATGTTCAAAACTTCCTCTTACCGCTCCGCCACAAGGAAGCTGCTCAACGCATCAGGTCACCCACATCCAAGATGCCTCCCTCCTTATGGGCCATGGGACCCACCAATTTCAGAACATTGGTAGGAATTGCGGTTCCATGAGGTAGATGCGGGAGTTGATCCCAATGCCACTGACTGCAGCTCGAAGTGTCCCAGAATCAAATGGCACTTTTTAAGGCGACCTGCAAAAGGGCCCTTGTGCCCTTGCAACTGCCCCTTTAAGAAAAGAGCGGCCTTTCCCGGAGCTTGTTCCCCCCTTTTGGAGGGTTTCAGGGCAAACCCGGGACAACCGAAAATCGCCCTTCGTGCGACAACTTCTCGTGGAGCCCTTCGTGCGCCGCGCGACTCGCTCGCGGGGGCCCGCGCCTCCGCGGCAAAGTACCGGACCTTGGGCTTGCCGCTCACCGCCACGAAGTCTCCGTGCACGTGGGTCGCAATGGCCCCTGACCGAATGGAGGCAAGATCTGGAGGTCCGAAGGTCTAGGCCTAGCCCGAGAATGAGCCCTTCATTCCAAGTTGCAGTTAGGGCTCCCCAAAAAATCCAAAACAATCACAACGAGAACCAGGACCAATCCAAGCCAACTAAGAGATACAGTAGCTGAAAAAATATGTTCAACATGACAGGTTCACTACAAAGGATGGAACTTCCTAATTTGAAAGATACCCCTGGAGCCAAACGTTCGGACGCCGGACAGGACGGCCTCATCTGAGGTATGGTGTAACTGGCATCTTCGAAGTATGTCTCTTCAATGACCCAAAGTATGTCCGAGTAAGATGTTTTTTCAGGAAATATCACCGAGGGGGGGTGTAACACAAAACACTTGTGGGGCGTGGTCCTTGAAGAAAGCCCGAAACCATAGGGACAAGGGATGCGCCAAATCAACCAAACTGTTCCACATGTTAATAGAGCTGTACCAAACAGACCGGGACATTGGTGTGTCAAGCAGCAAGCAATTTGAGCTGCCGAATAGCTTCTACCCAGAGCGCTGTTCCCCCAGGAAAAGCGGCAGGAACAGACTCGCTTTCCGCAGCTGGTGACCGCCCCATAGCCTGATTGCTGTTTTGCTGGAGCTGGATGAGCTGAGACGCTGCAAGAGTCAAGCCCGGGTGCTTTCTGCTGCTGATGCTCAGCTGCATGCTTCAACTTTGCATTGAGTTGATGCACATGGCAACGACCATTGTGAGTCGATATTGGAACCCTTGAACATCACCCTGACCCACATCCCTGCAATCTTCAAGGGCCGCCAGCAACCCAGGAAAACCAACGACCCCTCCAAGCTGGGAAGCAGAACTAGGCCAAAAGCGGGCGCCTCTAGAGGGCTCGTAGTCCAGGTAGCCCTGGTTGTAGATGAAGATGCCGAAGACGATGTAAGTCACCATCGCAGTCTGCAATCGCAACAGGAAAAGAGATGTGCCAAGGAGGGTGCTCCATAGCAGCAGAGGTGACAATGCGCGCAAACTGACGGATAGAAGCAAAGTGGAAGGGGTGCAGGATGTAGAGCTAAGAGCGTAAGTACTCAAAGAGCGCAAGAACAGGCAGTGGGGTCCGAGGAAATGTATGTGCAGGAATGGGGGATGGCCTATATCTGTCTGTTGCAGGCCTCAAGCTTCGTATGGACTGAGTGGATCGTTCGAGGGCATTAATTAAACCTTCATCAGATGCCTTGGAGGTAGAATACTTCCCAAATCTCCCCCGTTAAAGCCGGAACTTCAGTGTGCAGCTCAAGACAAAACGGAATATATTTCCAGGACGTCAGTAGTTCCTGGGAAAAGTGGGCAAAGCGTGGAAACACTCTCAGAGGTTTCGGCTTTTCCACTGTAACGCCCGCAAACGCGGTACCTGCATGGTGCACTGGATGATGCCGAGCCATTTGTCCCTGATCTCCACCTGTCAGCACAGAGGAGCTGCCAAGAGAATCTCGAACTCCGAGGAGTGGTTCTTGCCACCGTGATGCTGGAGGGATTGCAGGCATACCATCTCTGCTAGAACTCATTGAGCCATAGGCGATTGCGAAGGATGGAAATAAAAACAAGAAAACAAGGTGGGGAGATGCAAGCCACCTTCCTGCTGCCTGATGTAGTCCAACCCTGTCGCTGTGCCGAATTCGGAACACCCTGGTAAAACGCGGCGCCACCTTCAAAACGGAAAACGAGTCGAAATCAGGGTCCACAACTAGCTGGTGCTTGGAAACCTCCTGTACGGCCATCTGCTCCCTAGCCAGCCAAACATGCCTGACGACCTCCCTTTTGACGATCCCCGCTCCAACCTGCTGCTTGGTGCTGTAGGAGCAGAGCTTGTCAGGGTCCTACAGGGCGTACCCCCTGCACCGCTTTTCAGACAAACGAGCAAACAAACAAACAAACAAGCAAGCAAAGAGAGCAGCACTCAGTCCCAAATCATGAGAGCTCCGAAAGCCCCCCACCAACGCCATACGAAAGTGCCGCAAATCAACACCGCCATTCAGGCTGGGACTGCTTCGCGAATCCTCGAGGAATACTCCGAAACATTCTCCGCCAAAAGGCATCCTTTTTGGCTCCGATCTTTTGTGCTGATAGAATATAACAGAACATATGTGAATTCAGAAAGCGGCCCAGATGGAAGCGGGTGTTGTGTGTCTGGGCTTTGCCGAAAGTCTAAACTGAATAAACCCAAAAAACAAACGAGTTAATCTGAATTGAAACACACAAACAAACAAACAAACAAACAAACAAACAAACAGACAGACAGACAAACAAGCAAACAAACAAACACGCAAACAAACAAACACGCAAACAAGCCAACAAGCAAGCAAGCAAGCAACCAAGCAAGCAAGCAAGCAAGTAAGCAAGCAACACAAAACGGGTCCCATCGTTGTTCTGCGAGCGCATAATAGAAGAACAATAGGGCCTCAGTCAAAAAAATATCCTCGCCCCAGGCAAAAAACAATCCAAAACCAGTGCTCCCAAAGTCTGCACCTCGCTCGCGCCAAAGAGCTCCATTCCCTGGCAAGTACCTCTGGTAGCTGGCCAAAGCTAGAGACCCATTCGGGGATTGCTTGAATCAAAACTCCAACCCGCATAGCGGGACAAGGAGCTCTTCACGAACCGAAACTCAATGGAAACCAGCCATTTTGTGCGGTTTCAAACAGGTCAAGAAAGTGTCCGGCCTCTCTTCGAAGGTAGAAAATCAGGTTCCCCATGCTGTGGGGAAACACAATCTGGGCACTTTGTAAAAATTCAACCAAAAATGCGGAATCCCATATGGTGTAATGGTGTGTATATATATATATATATATGTATGTATGTATCTATGTATACATGCCCTCCCCCTCCCTCGGAATGAACCTACGGAACCTGGGATATCATACATCGTACATCTATATATATATATATATATATCGGGGTGAACCGGTCCCAAAGTCGCCAGCCCTGTAGCAGCCGGAAGTTTCAAGCGACAGGTATGTTTTGGGGGCGGCTCAGCAACATGAAACCAGCTGTTTGCGGCCGTAACTGCAACTGGTCCGGAGGCTGCCAGTGAGGTTCGATGTGGTTAGAGTACTGCAGTTGAAACCATGCTAAGAATATTTTGACACCGGCATATGTTTCATGATGTGCTTCTCAAAGCCTAGCATGAAAAAGGGTCCGAGTGTTGTTGTTGTTTTTTTCCGCTCACTAAACCTAGATGTCGCAATAGATTATAGGTACTGTGGTCGACAAGTAAAGAAAATGCTCTTCCCCTTACAAAACGTAAATGGTTCTAAATATATAAGGTAGTTGACACCCGAGGCATCACCAGTGTTCTAGCAAAGGAAGTGCTTTTTCGCTTACTAATTAACAGTAAAAGTCCAATGTCCAAACTCGAATTGTTTGGAGTCGCTGTGGTGACATCAAAGTTCTTTGCAAAAGTAACTACAAAATTACATTTTTTTGAGCCCGACATGACTCTGCCTGCTTTGGATGAATCTGGAAGAGAAAGTGGTCCACACCCCAAGCAGAACCAGTGTTTAGCAAAGATAATGTTTGTCCGCTTACTAAAAGTAGATGTCGCCGAAAGCTTGTGGATGAAGCGGTTGACACCCCCAGCATCACCAGTGATTTACTAAAGGAAATGCTTTTCAGCTTGCTAAAAGTAGCAGCATCACCAGTTTCTTTAGGTAAGAAAATTCTTTCCCGAACGCGAAAAAGCTGCAAACCTTGGACTGTTCAGCGTCCGTTGGTGTGAACTAAGTAGATGGGACGGGAATCAGCCGAAGTTTGAATGCTTTCTGCGAACAGGACGGAAGGAGCATGTTGTAAAGGACATGCTTTTCCGCTAATTTAAAAGTAGATGTCTTGAAAGGTTGTGGATAAAATGGTCAACACTCCCAGCATCACCCCAGCATCACCAGTGTGTTGGAAAAGGAATTGTCTTTCCGCATACTAAAAGTACATGTCCAGTGTGCAATGTTCGAGCCCGACATGACTCGGTCTGCTTTGGATGAATCTGTGCGATAAAGAAAAATCGCAAAAAGTGGCAGATAAAGTGGTCGACCTCCCCAGCATCACCAGTATTCACTAAAGCAATGTTTTTTGTTTTGTTTTTTCCGCCTACTAAAAGTAGTAAAAGTAGATATATGTTTTGACAAAGTGGTCGACGCCACCTGCATCACCAGCACTTTAGAAAAATGTCCGAGTGCGAAAAAGTTGCAAAGCTTGGACGCTTCATCTTCCGTAGATGTGAACTAAGTGGACGGGACGGGAATTGTCTGGAGTTGACTGCTCTTTGCGATGAGAGCGGGAAGAGCACGAAGGCTTGGAATGGAAGATAAGTGCCGGGGGATGACACCAAAGTGCCCTTGAGCAGACCTATGCAGACCGAAGTCTTCAAATATGTGTGTATGCATATATATATATACATAGATGTACGCGTCTTTGGCTAATCCCAGTTTTGCTGGGAGCTCGGGCAGGTTGTCACCATGAGAAAACAGAATGGAGAAGCCCAAATGGATGCCCAACTGAGTCCCGAATGTTTGAAGAAGCAAAATGGTTTGTTTCATGGGATATGGAACCCCCACATGGGTACTTTCCCTCTTCTTTCCCCTTCAAGCAAGCACGACAAGGATACCTGCAAGAAGACATGTTGTACGCACATGCAGTGCTAAGAGAAATGATCTGATCCTTCGTGCCTGTGTTTGACTTGCTTGTTCTCCCCTGCAAGGATTTGTGTTATTGGGGGGGTCATTCCCAAATACGCTGGTCAAAAAACAAGCACCCCCTGCCAAACTGGGGATGATTATCATTGCCCATACCAGTTTGTAGCTGTTGAAAGGAAAACCACCCGGATTCCTCCAATTGACGCACGTCTAGTTGCAACCGTCACCGGAGCGCGCAAACAAAAAGCGAACCAGCGCATATCGTACGTGCAACTGTGAAGTCTAATTGCTCCGCGGGCAAATGGCGTGTTTGTTGACCATGGGCTATATATGTGCAACTTTGTCGACTGGCCCAATCGAAACTTCTTCTCTGTATATTTGCTTGATTTAACCTTCAATCGGGAAATATTGTACTTCCCACACAAATATTGCACCATTCTGGCAACAACCCCTCCTAAAACGCAATGAAACTGCCAACATGCGGAAACATAAAATCCCTGGCCGATCATGGACTCATGCGCTCACCCACCCCTTCTTGGAGCACCTGGGCAAGCTACATTGGTGCAGTGGCAAATTCGTCTCTGAAGCCTTGAGCCAAAAAAACGTGGCAGACGGGGTTGGTGGTTTTGGGAGGGGGCAAGCAGCAAGAAGTCAGCCTACTCCCAATAATTGCGTCATTTAAGGGCAAAATCACAATGCTGAGTTAAATGCAGCGATGTCAAGACTTGGCGCTTGAGTCTAGGCTTGCATGTGTTTGCCGCAACACCCAGGCAGGCGCGTTTTCAGCTGAAAGCTGTGCTGTCAAGCTGTGATTCGGTGACGAGATGTGTGAGACAACCGAAACATGCAGGGATCACATGAGGCGAGGCAATCTGTGGACAAGTGCCACATGTCCCCAAAACTCGGACTCGGCTCCCTTTCCTCTGGACCGAATTCCGTGCTCACCGACCTTTCACGAAGTCATCATCTGAGACCTCGGAAGTCGCGCAGACTTCAGGCACGGCAGAAAGCGGGCGAAGTGGGCTGCCTGAACAGGAAGAGACCTGCACGAGCTGGAAAAATCAAAAGAGTCTCTGGCTTTACGTGCTTCTATACATGCAGGCTTTGGACGGGTGGGTGGGTGGGTGGGTGGGTGGGTGGGTGGGTGGGTGGGTGGGTGGGTGGGCGGGTGTGGGTGTGGGTGTGGGTGTGGGTGTGGGTGTGGGTGTGGGTGTGGGTGGGCGTGGGCGTGGGCGTGGGCGTGGGCGTGGGCGTGGGTGTGGGCGTGGGCGTGGGTGTGGGTGTGGGTGGGTGGGTGTGGTGTGGGTGGGTGTGGGTGTGGGGTGTGGGTGTGGGTGTGGGTGTGGGTGTGGGTGTGGGCGTGGGGGTGTGGGGGTGTGGGGGTGTGTGGGTGTGGGTGTGCGGGTGTGGGTGCGGGGGTGCGGGTGTGGGTATGCGGGTGTGCGGGTGTGGGGGTGGGGGTGGGTGTGGGTGTGGGTGTGGGTGTAGGGGTGGGGTGGGGTGGGGGTGCGGGGGTGGGTGGGTGACCCACCCACACCCACCCACCCACCCACCACCCACACCCACCCACCCACCACCCACCCACACCCACCCACACCCACCCACCCACCCACCCACACCCACACCCAACACCCACACCCACCCACACCCACACCCACCCACACCCACACCCACCCATTCCCACCCACACCCACACCCACCCACACCCACACCCACCCACACCCAGCCACCCACCCACACCCACCCACACCCACCCATCCACCCACCCACCCCACCCACCCACGCACGCACCCACCCCGCACCACCCACCCCGCACCACCCACCCCACACCACCCACCCCACACCACCCACCCCACACCACCCACCCCACACCACCCACCCCACACCACCCACCCCACACCACCTACCCCCGCACCACCCACCCCACACCACCCACCCCACACCACCCCACACCACCCACCCCACACCACCCACCCCACACCACCCACCCCACACCACCCACCCCACACCAACCACCCCACACCAACCACCCCACACCAACCACCCCACACCAACCACCCCACACCAACCACCCCACATCAACCACCCCACACCAACCACCCCACACCAACCACCCCACACCAACCACCCCACACCAACCCCCCACCCACACCAACCCCCTTCACCAAACCCCCACACCAACCCCCCACGTAGGTCTCAATTGAAAGCCATAAAATTGATGCTCGAGGCCCGCACATCAGCATCGTCGCGATCTGGCGGTAGATGCTCAAACAAACAGCGGCCATTACACTCCCGCCGCAACGGTGCACAACTTAACGGGGCTATGCTGTCAAATGGCCGTAAAAACTGCAGTGTCGGATCGTCTGGGCAATCCGCCGATGCTGGTCGAGCATGCAAATGGTAGGGGTTCTTTTGGGACAGATGCGCAATCCTAAGCCAAAGAGTTTCAGAAAACGACCGCCCTGAGAAACAAGGACACTCCCATCCCAAACCAATCCCATCAGCCCATGACATGGGTGGGGACACATGGGGTTTACGTCCATCATCACATGGTGGACGGTATTCACACTCTGAAAGTTCATCCCACCTGGGAAATATTGGCTTTGTGACACAGCAGCAATACCGTAAAGTCAAACCAGTATCTGCAGTCGTCAGGCATCAGAGTAAAAAGAAAATAGAACCAACTGCACCCGACTGCCTTCCCTTTAACAAAACTAAGAGTCCACTGCCTGTCCCAAAGCATGCCCCAAAGCATGATCCCAGGCCTGCAATCCACAAAAGCAAGTCTTCCGAACCGGACCCACAACCAACACGAGGTGACTTTTGCAGCAACAAACCCTCACGGACCAATATCCTCTCATGTGTGCCTCCAAAATGGGTGCCTTTGCTGGCAGCGTGCAGTTTTGGTGGCTGTTGCAAGGGAAAACCAAAGGGGGGGGAGGCCGCCATTTTGATTTGGTTGCCCTTCCGACGAGCCCAAAAAAAAGAGACACACCCAAGCGGGCCCATGTCGTGCCCATCCCGCGCAGCCCACTCGCCTTGGTGTGCCCAGCGCGCTCCGCGAGCTCATAGGCCGTGAGGCGGCGCTGGCCCCCGCCCTGAGAAACAACAAGGCACGAGAACAATGCAAAGAACGGCATGTGTTTTCGGGGTGAAACCCATAAGCCACCAGTGAGTTCTGGGAGGATGTCACTTCAACAAACCTACCAAAGTTCTTGGCCATCGAAAGGCAAGCTGGACTGACCTTGTTGCAACGTTCCATTGGAATCAGAAATGAGAAATGGTCTCAACTTTCCGGGTGAATTGTGATCACAAACCGAACAAAAGACACAGACCCCCCAAGTCAAGAACTTTCATGATGAGCTCCCACACTTCCCATGTGAGGTCGCTACCATTTGCCTAAAACTTGATGTCCAAGAAGGGGGTCAAATGCAAAACTAAGCCCCCCTCTTGCCCTGTCCCTTCGTTGTTGTTGGAAACATATGGTTGGCAAACCTGGGTGCTTCTGGATGCCACAAAGCTTCATACAAGCTCTCACAATGACCAACAGTTGAGCAGCTCGAGGTTCGAAGCGTGGAAGCGGCCAACAGATAGTTGTGCCATGGTGCTCCCGCCCTGTGCGCTCGCTATCTGCGCCAGATGGACTAGGAGGAATTCTCATTGTTGTCTAAACTATCATTCATAGGTCGACTGTCCCTACCAACCCCAGGTAAAAGGGTGTTTTGACCACGTGGCGATTCGCAGGTTCACCTCTCTACGCTGAGCCCTTGCCTCGTCAAAGCTGTGGTTCACATCTGCTTTGTGCTCGAGGAGGAGACTCACCACTCCGACGTGTCCCTGGCCACGCAGCAGTGACGCACCGTTTCTGCGGACTCGGCCCGGTCGTTTCGCCGGCGCGAAGCCTCTCCTGAGATTCTGAAGTTCCCCGCAGGGGAAGGAAACTTGACTCATAAAGCAACCAGTTTGCGAGCATCGAACCAGTCCAGGGAGCAATGCCCCACAAAAGTCCACTATGTAACCATTGCCAGACAATCAGCTGACTACAAACTCGCAGAGTGACCAAATGACGGCACTCTTTGAGACCCAACACCGGGCCGCCGCAAAGGCCTCCTTGCTTGGAGTCGGGGAGAAGGTAGGCCACCGTTTCGCGAAGGACTTTGGCGGGACCCAAAATTTCAGGTTGACTCATCAAGTCAAAGGATGGGCAATCAAGTCAGACAACACGCTCAGGGTCTTCCACATGTGTTGCAAACTTTGGATATGCATGCCATTGCGCCTGTGGCGATAAATCATCTGCTCGCACTTTCCAGTGTGCTCAAACCCAAAAGCAGTCCTGCACCAGGGAAGTCGGTAACGGGGCCATGGGTAAAAGTCTTGAAATCTCAACAACCACGGTTCTCTTTGGTTTTGAAGCTCTTGCCAAACTGCCTCAGAAAGCAATTCCGCTGGCACCTTTTCTCCCTCGCTCGTCTGGTCTCAGGCGCTCATCTCAGCGCTGACCTTCTTCAGGACGAAAAGATTGCCCCGGTCGCCTGCACGGAATCTTAGGTCACCCGGGCACCCGGTCTCCGTCCTTTCTGAAACAAATTGATTCCCTTAAACATCACCACACCGAGAGGAAACTCGCCCAAGGCCCAAAACTGTAAATATAGGGACTCCCGGGTAAAGGGCCAGAGCCAACGTGAAGCCAGAGCCATTCATGACATGAACCAAACTTGGTAACCAACTGACCCAAAACGGACACCTATGGTTGCAAACAAAATCACCTCGGAGGGCAGCGCGCCCCTAGCGCCCCTAGCGAAGCCCAAGGATTGTCCAAATTAAAGAAAAGTCCTTCAGGTGTTCTAGACATTGAGGTCAGGGTACGTACCCCGAACAACCAACCGTCCACAGCTTGTTCCCTTCGGTCCAAATTTGAAGGCTGGTCCGAGAACGTCACCAAGACTCGGACCCCCTTGCCACTCAAAATCGTTCAAAGTTATGAGGGAAGGCTTGCGAGAATCGCCCTGGATGAAGTTGCGCTGTGAGAAGCCGTGAAGGTCCATCACTAAACTTCCCCGTCACGGGAGTCCGGAGGGCTGGGTTTGCCGGGACCGCAGAAGCAGAAAGGTCCAAAGGTCCAGGCAAAATGCTCCGCAAGGAGCCCTTGCTGAAATTTGCATCCAGGCTGGAGCTGGCCTCGGCTGAGGCGGAGGTCGTCGTCCAGGTACGTCACCTGCGATGCAAGCGAGCCACTTCAAAAGCCTTCTGAGGCCAATGCAAGCCACGAACCGGGTCCATGAAAGCAACATCCTCGAAACTACCCTCTACAAAAAATGGTGGCAAGCAGGGAAACCACCCCCCAAAAGTATTTTTGAGAAGCCCTCGTGCTCACTCTAAGGGATCAGGAAGCCTACCCTCCTCAGACAAGTTGTCCAGCCAAACTTGTGGTTCCCCTCGCTCGTGGCTCTACCTACTCTCGAGCCCTCGGCGCCTGCAGGATGCCGGTGGCGCTGTCGGGCGCCGAAACCGGGAGGACTCCGAACAGCCTCGGGATGCGTTTCTTGGCCGTCCTTCTTGCACGTGGCTTGGGGCAAACAGACAGACGGGGGGGGCCAGTATGTGTTTCACTTTAAGCATGAGTCTAAGCGACAAATGCTTCAAGAAGGGCATCCAAGGTGTGACTTTGATGTTTAAGCCACCCACAAAGAGAAACATGCGGACCCCTGCGAGGCGAGGCGTGGCTGAGGGGTCTCAAAGGATGGGTTGAGCAAAATGTGTTTCAATGAAGGGTCCTGTTTCTTAAACAACTCGTTTACAAAAGGGACGCCCAACCCAGGTAACCTCTGAGTGAACTGCAGTCAGTCGAGGGTTTTGCTGGGAGACACAAATCAAAACTTCAAGGAATGTCTCACAGGCCTCCAAAAACGGGTGAGAGCGCTTCAAATTGCTCCGGTGATGGTAACCCTGCAGAATTGATGGATCTCTCCCGCTGCGAGTCGGATCCACTCAGTCAGGCCAGCGCATGACGCTAGTCGGGTCTTGGATAGTGCGAGTCCCACCCCGACCGCAGACCATCCCGTCCAGTTTCCGCAAAAGTTGGCATAAAAACGGCCCGTGCGGGCAGTGATCTTCAGTTCCGGCACTCGAGCTGGAGCGCACTTCCGCGATACGGGAAGTCAACCGCAAACCCAAGCTCCTTTGGTGGCTCTCCTGCCCATGAATCCAAAAAGTTGACACAGGAAACTTATTCGGCCTAGGCCCCAAGCCAATCCTCAAAACCAACCGGTCGCCAATCCCTTCACTCCCTGTTAATGACACTGCATTCTCCTCTTATGAATCAATTGAAGTGATAGAATTGATAGCAAATGGGGGGGCCTAATCTTGCTATTTTACACCCCCTGCATCTTAGCCCTAGTTGGCCTCAGTGCTCACCAATCCCAACCAACACTTTGGTTTGGGGATTTGAACCCTGGTTGTCGCAATCACCAAAAGGAAAAGCTGCCTCTACCCCAAATTCCAACCACCGAACGAGGGAAGGACAATTCATGGTTTACACCCTTTAGCCTCCTTTTCGCACACATCTCTTTTTTAGACAGCTGTCTCCCTTAACCCCTGCTGCAAACAGTCATGGAACCAAGACCCTTTCTTTTGACACCAACACTCGGCACTTCAGGGCCCCCAGTGGCCATGACAAAAAACGGCACCTTGAAGTTGGTAGATCATTTTACAAGGGCCCAAAAAAAAATAGGAGACTCACCACCGGGGCGCTAAAGCCCGAGGCCTTCACGTGAAGGTCTTGAAGCGGACCCCCACCGTGGTCTTCTCCAGGCTCTGGTCCTGAACAAAAGCTGCGGGGATACCCAGTTCCGAAAAGAAAAATGAAAAATCCACCCATGTTCCATTCCCAAAACATGTTTTCTTCCGGACACACCTTTCCACGAGCCAGAACAACCGCTATTCCCGGTGGACTCCAGTTGCCCCCACTATCCCAACCATTGCCCATCTGAGTACAGGTTGAATCCACTAGGACTTGTCGCGTCCACCGCAGTCCTCCGGCAGGTAGCTGCCTCCCGGCTTCTCCTCCGCACCCTGCTTGAAGAGCAGAAAGTCGTCCAGCCGAGACACGAAGGCCTTCACGCGCTGTGAGCAAACCCGTGCATGCCCAACGTTTCAGCGTCGCTATGCGTCCCCGTGCCTCCATGCAATGTGAATCTGTCTGTGTGTGTGTGTCTGTGTCTGTGTGTGTGCGTGTCTGTGTGAGCGCGTGTGTCTGCGCGTGTGTCTGTGTGCGTGTGTGTGTGTGTCTGCGTGCGTGAGACAGCATGAGACCAAAAGAACAAGGGAGCATGGCCTGCTCTCACTAGTCACTACTGCGCCCAACGAAGCTTTGTCAGTGGAGGGAAGCCTGGATTGGCCATGCAGGTGTACCTTCATTTCTCGACCTCAGATGTTCCAGTGGTTGCTCGGTTTGCCTGTTCTTGCCGCGTTCTGTGTTGAAGCGCTCAACATCTCAATGTGATTGTGCGACCTGTACTCCTTACGGGAGCTTTTCACAGTGTGTGTGTGTGTGTGTGTGTTGTGGTGTGTGTTGTGGTGTGTGTGTGTATGTTGTGTGTGTGTGTGTGTTGTGTGCGCGTTGTGTTGTGTGTTTGTGTTGTGTGTGTTGTGTGTGTGTGTTGTGTGTGCGTTGTGTGAGTGTGTTGTGTGTGTTGTGTGTGTGTTGTGTGTGTGTGTGTTGTGTGTGTGTTGTGTGTGTGTTGTGTGTATGTTTGTGTTGTGTGTGTTGTGTGTGTGTGTGTTGGTGTTGTGTGTGTGTGTGTTGTTTTGTGTTGTGTTGTGTTGTGTTGTGTTGTGTTGTGTTGTGTTGTGTTGTGTTGTGTTGTGTCGTGTCGTGTTGTGTTGTGTTGTGTTGTGTTGTGTTGTGTTGTTGTGTTGTGTTGTGTTGTGTTGTGTTGTGTTGTGTTGTGTTGTGTTGTGTTGTGTTGTGTTGTGTTGTGTTGTGGTGTGGTGTGTTGTGTTGTGTTGTGTTGTGTTGTGCTGTGCTGTGCTGTGCTGTGCTGTGCCGTGTTGTGTTGTGTTGTGTTGTGTTGTGTTGTGTTGTGGTGTGGTGTGGTGTGCTGTGCTGTGTTGTGTTGTGTTGTGTTGTGTTGTGTTGTGGTGTGGTTTGGTGTGGTGTGTTGTGTTGTGTTGTGTTGTGTTTGTGTGTTTGTGTGCTTGTGTGTGTGTGTGTGATTGTGTGTTTGTGTGTGTGGGTGTGTGTTTGTGTGTTTGTGTGTTTGTGTGTTTGTGTGTTTGTGTGTTTGTGTGTTTGTGTGTTTGTGTGTTTGTGTGTTTGTGTGTTTGTGTGTTTGTGTGTTTGTGTGTTTGTGTGTTTGTGTGCTTGTGTTTGTGTGTTTGTGTGTTTGTGTGTTTGTGTGTTTGTGTGTTTGTGTGTTTGTGTGTTTGTGTGTTTGTGTGTTTTGTGTGTGTTGTGTGTTTGTGTGTTTGTGTGTTTGTGTGTTTGTGTGTTTGTGTGTTTGTGTGTGTGTTTGTGTGTTTGTGTGTTTGTGTGTTTGTGTGTTTGTGTGTTTGTGTGTTTGTGTGTTTGTGTGTTTGTGTGTTTGTGTGTGTGTTTGTGTGTTTGTGTGTTTGTGTGTTTGTGTGTTTGTGTGTTTGTGTGTTTGTGTGTTTGTGTGTTTGTGTGTTTGTGTGTTTGTGTGTTTGTGTGTTTGTGTGTTTGTGTGTTTGTGTGTTTGTGTGTTTGTGTGTTTGTGTGTTTGTGTGTTTGTGTGTTTGTGTGTTTGTGTGTTTGTGTGTTTGTGTGTTTGTGTGTTTGTGTGTTTGTGTGCGTGTGTTTGTGTGTTTGTGTGTTTGTG